AAATTCAAACATAACACCTTCCATTTTTGTTTCCTTGTTAACACCCGCTCGGGTGGGGGTCAACTTGAGCCCCTGGAGGTTTTTCCGGAATGGTTTCCGAACGGGGAGCGCAGCCACGCCAAATTTTTCATAGCTGTAGACAACTGAATAGCGGATCGTTTAATATAAAAGATTAAGATGCACCTCATAAGATAGCTGACCTATGGCAGGTCAAAGTTAGACCATGGTTACAGCGAAGGCAATTTCTAGGGAATCGTTCAATCAGATGCAACAATGGACTGTTTGACGAAGCCATACATCTCTGAGATGATTTCTTAGGCAAAACAAATATTAAATTAGCAAATTACTTTGACCTAAGGTCAGGTATGAGGGTCAGATCAAGGTCAAAACCAACCTGTTTTATGACCTTAGGGCTTGATGTAAGGGGTAGTTTCTGGTGCTCATTTCGAATTTATTGATAGCAGGAACCACATTATACATCTTCCATGAACTTCTTAGAGGTAAGAGTAGGTCATTGACCTAAGATGACCCAGGTTGATATTTAGACAAAAACTACCTAGTGCAATCTGTGTCGCTCATTGAAATGCAAAACACAGAGCAGTCTTGTTTGATTTTGGTCACCATGGTCTTCAAAAGGTCAAACAAGGTCACTGACCTTAAATGAGCTTGTGACCCTTTGCTTAGAAACAGTTATCTAGGTTCTGGGGGCACTTTGAAGATCAAACTGGAATTTTGCTTTGTTTGGCCTTATTTGACCTGAAGGTTATAACCTGGAAACCTCAGGCTCATATTTAAGCGAGTTCACATACAGATCAAGACACTCTGTAAATTTGGTGTCTCTAGCTTTCTTAGTTCCCGAGATCTTGGGGGGGGGGGGGGCGAATCGACCGTCCACCCGAACGAAGGGTATCTAGCCGGTCATCCGGGCGCGAGTTTATGGTGTTTGAGAAGTACAGCAGATCCAAACAATGTTTTTTATTTCATGCTACGGAATGTTGCATTTGATTATTTGGATATGCTCAATCGTTGCGTTCTCTTTGTGATGTATATCTCCTGATATTACCTCTGAACCATCCCAATTTCTGATAACATCTGCCTTGTATGCACTGAAATTTGGGCTGACCGCCTCAAACTTTGAGCACTTCAACTTATGATGTACGTACTTTCAAATTGTTTTATTATTTTTATGGATATGCCTGACGTGTTTGGTGTGACATATTTGTTTGCAGTTTGCTGTCTGTGTCTGTCAGCCACGATCAGCCACTATCTGTCACTGTCAGTGTCATTATTAGTTGTACGTACCATGCACACCAGTTGCGATCAGTGTACCAATTATACAGTGCACTACCTTAATAAATCAAGATGCCTTTGTGTGCTGTGGGTGCCTGTAGCAATGATTCTCAAAGTGACTCAACTTCCCTGTCATTTCATTTCATCACGTTCCTGCTGATGTCTAATTGACAAACTTTGGCGTGTTAATGTGGATGACCAGACAAACTTATTCGTAAAACAGCAAGACTTTGTTATGACCACGTTGATTCAGCACATTTGCACCGGCTGACACATGATACCCTGCAGCCATTAACGCTGCTGGCCAGTCAACAAACTGATAATATATCCGGAATGTTGTGTTGTTAAGTGCAGCAATCTTACAACTATTATTCTGCAAAGCTACACTTGACTTCGTTGCATGCTCATGCCATTTCACCCCAGCGCGTATCGGGCTTCACGTGTTGAGAATACTATCTTGATGTGTCGTGGATGTCCCAGAAATATAAACGTGGCAGTCCCAGTGTAATACCTTGCAAAGTGTTTGGCTATGCTAGAAATCTGCCAAAAATTGTTCATGCTGTCATTTTGTGAATGTCATGGTATTGTTACCTTGTGGTGTGGCTTGTAGTTCTTACTTTGTTTCATACTCAGCATTGTTCAATGCTTTCTGTTTTGTATTGAGTCCTTTTTTGTGTTGTGTGTATCCCCAAGAAATATGTTGTCACTGCACCTTCACAAAATTTGAGAGGTCGTGACCAGGTTTGTATTCAGAGGAAGATGCTTCTTCACGCTGCACACCTGCACTCAAATGTGCTGCTTCAATCTCCCAAGTGAGCTTTCCTCAAGGGAACCTCAAGCACACTTGTTTTACTGCATTGTTCAGACTTAAGTGAATGGGTGTATCAGGTTTGTTTTATACACATATACATATATACATATATGCATATACACATACACATACACACACACACACACACACACACACACACACACACACACACACACACACACACACACACACACACACACACACACACACACACACACACACACACACACACACACACACACCACACACACACACACACACACACACTCTCTCTCTCTCTCTCTGGGACATCCACGACAGATCAAGATAGTTTTCTCAGCACATGAGCCCGATAAGCGCTGGGGTAAAATGGCATGAGCATGTAAAGAGAGAGAGAGAGAGAGAGAGAGAGAGAGAGAGAGAGAGAGAGAGAGAGAGAGAGAGAGAGAGAGAGAGAGAGAGAGAGGAGAGAGAGAGAGAGAGAGAGAGAGGGAGAAGGGAGGAGAGAGAGAGAGAGAGAGAGAGAGAGAGAGGGAGAGAGAGTGCTACAATATATATATATATATATATATATATATATATTGTAGCGTATATATATATATATATATATATATATATATATATATATATATACGGTACAACTTAAGTTGTTGTTATTTCCAATGTGCCTTTTGAGACATTTTCTTTGAGACCTGAGAGCCAATACGGCAGTGCTGCACAGTACAAAAAGACATCTTGAGTGATTATCTGGAGCACCGTAAAGCAAAGGTAAAAGTAATAACAGACTGTTTTGATGGTTTATCTGATAAGTGCTGCCAATGATCCCAATCTACGCAATTGCAAATATGTACATGTGCAACGATATACAAGTTATCAAGTACAAAACACTGTAGCATCATAAGGCCCATCATGTGGGGTTTACTGTATTGCATTACACCATCAC